AACTATCATCTACTCTTGGTAATGCTGATGCATTACTAATAATACAATGAATAAACATTATTCACTTCTCTATTCATGTAACAACAGTAGCATATTAACTAATATTCATGAAATATTTTTGTGTGTCACTCCACTACAGTGTTTATGCATGTACTGTACAAGTTGTAAGTTAATGTTTGATGGTATGGAATTTTACTGTCATTATAGAAACAATGTACAGTACAATAAGTTGTATAAGACGAGAGGAGATGATGCTTTTATTATTTATTGATTTCTAACTTCATGCCAATAACTGTGTATTCTATATAGAACGCAATGCTATGATCAGTGGTAATAATATCAAAGGAACCAATGATGTACACAGTACTGCTACTGGTGAGTGTTACATTACTGGACTAAAGTACCGTATAGTAGGAGATTTTAAGGTAGTTAAATTTAGCAAATTTGGCGTTTTGATAGCCATTTGCCAAAATAAAAATCCACCATTTTGAACCATTATGTGCATGCTCAATGGCACATGGCCATAAATTAAAATTTGCCAATCACCAAAAATTAGCAATTTGCCAAATTTAAGTCCGTCCAAAATTGTACAAAAATTAGTATTTAACTAATTTAATATTTTAACTAATTCATTTTTTAGTAATTTAGTATTTAACTAAATTTAACTCCCTCCAAAAGATGTACAAAAATTATTATTATTAGAGATTGGTGAAGGAGTGTAACTTATAATGTAAAATATTTAATTTGTTAAATTATGTGTAAAATTCATAGTAAGCCATAATTGATTGGTATGTAGTATGATAACTATGAAATACTTCAATTGAGATAATTACTACAGTTATTTTAATGCTCTATCCTCCTACAGGTACAAATAAGCCATTGATAGGAGGTCCTCCACTCTCTCCTATTGCATTAATGGATATACCAGAATGAGATGATACAGTACAATAAGTTGTATAAGACAAGGGGAGATGGTGCTTTATTTATTGTTTAGTTTTGTTATGCCATACCACAACTTATTTATGGGAATTGACTTGGAGCCATTTTTTGGAAAAACCATTGGCTAGTCTTTGCTTCTAATCAAAAGTTGACTTGTTTTTTAGAATGCAAAAAATTTCCCTCCAACAACATAAGGACATAAACATGCATCAGAAAATGCAATAAAAATTTTGTTTGTTTCAGAACCAATTAAAAAAACATTTCAGGGTAATTTTCAGAAATTAGCCTTTTAAAAAATGGTCAGATTTAATTTGGAATCAGCTCAACTTTCTACATTGCATAAGGACATCAAATTGTATCAAAAAATGTAATAAAGATTGGGAGTGATTTTGGAGTCATTTTTGAAAAAAGCATGCACTACAGTAGAGGACAATTTTCAAAATTTTGGCATTTAAAAAATTGCTGTAACTTAAAATGTTTTAGTTGGCATCAGCTCAAACTTTCTACATAGCATAAGGACGTTAATATGCATTTTAAAATATAATAAAAATTAGGGTCAATTTTGGAGCCATATTTTGAATAAAAGCATGATTTATAGCCTTGGGTATTTTTCATTAAATTACTGATTTTAAAAATTGTCATAACTCAAAACTTTTATTTACAATCAGCTCAAGCTTTCTACACAGCATAATGACATCAATACGTATCAGAATATGTAATAAAATTTTCAAAGGATTTTTGCATTTTTTAGAAAAAGAAAGCTTTGAGTTATTTTTTGAAATATTTAAAATAAAATAGCCTGAAATGCTTGCTCAAAATCTCTCTAGTACTTAATTAATTAATAACAATAATAAACATGCATTACATTACTTACATTAAATGCATGAGTGTCTTTTAAAGCTACAAGCTCCTACGAGAGAGAAAATGAAAAGAAGGATAGGAGGAGAGAGATGAGAACAATAAAGTATAAATATACTACCAGCAGTTAATAACATTTTGTCAAAAAAGTTAAAAAAATAAATGAATAAACAAACAAACAATTATTGATTAATAAATTACCTCAGAGATTCAGATCTCAAACGTCGCCATGTTGAAAAACGAGCCCCACCCTTTGCATTCCTTTGCAAAGTTTGCATCCCGGTTTGTTTAGGGTTATAAAGCTTGTTCTTACATCAATGGCAACTAAAACCAGTTCTTGTTCTTTTCTGAGTCTCTTCTCTTCTCCTTTGACTTATGGTAATGTTCTTTAATTATCTATGTATCATTGAATATGATTTTAGATCAACTTATTGATGTACTTAATTTGTTGAAGAAATGTGGTTTCCCTCAGAGGAGATGGAAAGAACTAGGACTGACACTAGGACTACACAAGAACACACTGGACGCTATTGAAAGGAATCATCCTGGTGATGTATTTCAATGCTTGACAGAGTGTCTCTCCAAGTGGTTGTCCAGAGCTGATAATGTTGACAGTAAAGGAGGAGCTACCTTTGACTCACTGTCAGATGCTCTTAAATTTATGAATGAGAATGCTGCAGCTGACAAGTTAGGTCAAGAGAGTAAGTTAATATCATTGATTGTATTAGTATTGACTGTGCGTATGTGCATGTGTATTCTATATAGAACGTAATGCTATGATCAGTGGTAATGATATCAAAGGAACCAATGATGTACACAGTACTGCTACTGGTGAGTGTTACATTAATTTAAATTGTTAAATCATATGTAAAATTCATAGTGTGCCATGATTTGTAAGAAGCATTATTACTATAAAATACTTA